CTTTTACGACGAAGAATTACAAAAATAATTTCAAATTCTCCGTTAAAGAGGCGCTAAGTTTGCCTTACTGATTTACATGCTTCTTGCCAATAAGCTCCTCATTATTGGGTTAATCTCCCTGCCATTTTGTGGGTTGTTGAAAAATGCAAACAATACCTAAATTTTACTATTTATCCATATAATGTTTCCTAAAGAAATGAACGCTCTATGATGAGTACCTGAAAATCAAAATTAAAAGTGTATATAATACTTACTTTTGAGACACGCTGTATAAGCTGGAAAAACATATCATAAATATTCCATATCACGTAACTTTTCCTTCCACGGGGTCAACTTTTTGTGAAACGCCGTAATTTTTGCGTTGTGATCAATGACAGTGAATCCAGGACATTGCATGACTTGATTGAGCAAATTCAGCGAGGCACAAAAAAGAAAACTGGCGTTGATTGAGAGGTCTTGCCTTAATGTAGTTCACGAATTTTATAACAGGATCTAGTGTTTCATGCAACTCCTCCGACATTTTTTGTTGTTACCAATGCTTGCCTGTGCAAAAAACAGTGCGTCCATTTTATCTCTGGGACTTTCCAGACTTGATACCCGTATTTGTCGCTGCGCCATCAGTACAAATTCCCGCACAATTCACCCATGGGATTTGAATGTTGAATGAAAAATCTGTCACGACACTCAAAAAAATCTTGCCCTTTAGTATGTAACGGCAGAGCTTTACGAAAGGTAAATTCGTTCAAGTGAATGGCATTTTTCTCCTATACATAATGATGTTTACAAATTTTCTCATCACTGGTAGTAACGATTTTTCTCCGATTTTATGTGGTTTCTTTTGCTATTTCGAAAGAGCTTTATTCCACTCTATTCAAAACAAAACCAACAATTGATAAACCTTTTTATGTGTATGAGAATTTTCTTTCCATATTTGAAAAATGTTTGTCTGCAGAAATTGGAAATCGGTCAGACAAAACGTTACAGAAATAGATTTGTTTTTAGGGTACAAAAAGACTCTTGAATTGCTTGCGTGACGCGCACTTGTGCAAAGGCACAGAGTAATGGGATGGGAATCGATAGTTATGTCCCTATATTTATGTAAAGAATGTCAGGTTGATGCAGCTTACTTAGTGTCATAAATTCATTTTTAAAATGAGGGAACCTGTTGTTTGTGCGTTAGATACAAAATCATTATGATTACACATATATCATTCCTCAATTTCTATTCCATTCACACTAGGTTTTGATTTCGACGATGAAAATTCCAAAACGATTGAAATATCTATTTCAAGATTTTTGCAAAAATATCATCCGATTATCAATAAACGGGTCATGGATGTTGACCTTAAAGCAGTGCTCGTCAACCGGATTTCTAGTACACCCCTGGGTGTACCAAAAAGTTCAAAGGGTGTACCACATCGATAAGGGGTGTATCGAACCGAATGCTGTAGGGCATAGGTTCTCAAAGTGCTCCGTACGGAGCCCCAGGGCTCCGCGAGAGAAACCCAGGGGCTCCGCGAGCTATTCGGTTACTTTTCAAAATACTGACTTGGCTAATTTTGTAACTGTTCAAAGAAGCAATAACAGCTTTGATAAAATTGGACAACAATATAGCCTCGAAATATGGCAAAAAGGCGGAATTAAAAAATGACATTATTTATAAGTAGGAGCACAGCCAGGATTCTTAAGAGGGAGGGGTTCAAAATTGGAATTGGAAATTTCTACGCAACATTCTTCATTTAAATTGCATTTAAAGTGTCTTGTCGTAATAATTCTAATTGTGCTCATCGTCACTCACGTTTGATTCGAGATTACTATTAGGATTACTAAAATGAAAGAATACTATTCTAAAACAAGAGAGCTACGCAGTCAATCAGTCTTTACCGGTACCTTTGACGCTACCGGTACCCTCAAAAAAGTTCTGAATTTCCAGTAGCAAGAATTTTGCCGAATCAAAACGTACAGCCAGTCATGACACTGACTAAAATCCGTGTTCCCATGGATAAAAAATAATACAGCAAAATTTTAGACGAAATATCAAATTTCATAGAATTCACGCAAAATTTTGAAATAAATAAAAGTAATAGCCTTCCAGCGAAGAAATTAATCTTTAACCACTGAAAATTTCAAAGCAATTGGTCCAGTATTCGAAAAGAAAAGCGATTTTTTAAAAACGTGTCAAAGAACAAGAACAACAACAACATAATATTGAAACGATCGTTATGGCCACTAAACGTGTTCAATAACATAAAATACCCAAGGTCTGGGCAAAATATGAACGATTGTAATTTATTTTATTGCATGCGGCTAAAAGGTACAACGCATGCACAATTGACTGTGTTTCGATTTCGCAGTTACTATGATGAATAACCAAAGTAAACATAAAACTAAATTTTGTGATTCACAATGTCTATAAAAGTCTGCTGAAACAACACTTATAGTGTTATCTCCCATTTAAGTTTCAGTTTTAATATTTTAGAATGCCGCTTTCCAATCAAGAAATTCGAGTTGCGGATTTACCTCTTTATTATTTATTATTTTTAGTATTTCGTCGCCGATGACTATAATATGATAACATGTTTTTTTACATTGAACTCATAATTCCCCACGAGAACAAAAAAGCAATTATCGTTGTCATTGTGGAACAATACACGTATATGTCAATGGAAATTTTTGATTTAGGAAGAATAAACATTGGCGTAAAGATGTTTAAGGTTTAAAACACGCCATACTGACGAAAACAATCGGCGATTGTAACAAAATGCAATCGAGCGCGTTTTTAGCGCCTTTTAAGTCTTCCAAAAATGTCAAAAGGGAAAAGATTCGACCCCTAATTTATTAATATGTTTGTCAAGTGTCAAATTTATAGCTTTAGTATATATAATTTATCTTTGAAATTTAGATTCATTTATGACTTGTATTAACCCTATTAAAAAGGTGTTGCATTCAAATTAAGTAAAGTACTTTTAACTTACTCAGGAATATTAATTGGAAAGTAACAATTTTAACATTTATTTTGGGGCTCCGTGAATAATGGTCAACCTTTTCAAGGGCTCCGCAACATCAAAAGTTTGAGAACCCCTGCTGTAGGGTACACACTTTCTTGATGTGCTTATTAAATTAGATACTGAAGTTTGAACAGGCATGTAACATAACATTTTTGGTTTGAGAATATTTATTTAATATATAGATACTTTTTTGAAGAATTTCCATCATTTAATAAATCAGTTTTAATTCGTATTTTTGCGATCTTGCCAATTCAAGCTATTGTTTCATGTCCAATGGGTATAATTTATTTAGTACTATAAATGCAGATATTATTATATCAACATATCCAGGAGAAATGTCGGTATATAACGCCGATAATTGTTTTATTTCGCCGTATTATGTTATCCATCGCCGTATAAAGGTAAATCTGAAACACGCATTTTCGACTGAAAATAGGTCAGTAAGTAATTGCTAACGAAAATACCACAACTATTGATTTATGAGCCAGTGATAGATAAAAGAAAACGCTATTCTAGGCGCTGTTGAATCACCAAAATTTCGTAATAATCATATTCACTGAATTTGCAAGGGTAACTTTTCACGGGATGCATAATTCCGATGTTGAATCTCCAAATAATCACGCGACGCGGAAGAAAACAATCGGCGATGCTAACAAAATAAGCCTGTAAAATTCGACCGCCATTATTAGCGACTTTTTGAACATTTTAAAAAGAAGGGCTGTTTTTACATTCGTAGTTTTCATGGAACTTCCCAAAAAAATTTGTTTGCAGGATGGTCTAATATTTCAGAAAAGTTAATTTGACTGACTTTGTATCGTGTCATGTTTTTCATTTACTCACCTATAGGGTAAAGTTGTCTAAAAACTGGCGCAGCATTGTTTTGGCCCTATTAATTTAGTTTGAAAGGTATTCAAATGGAAATAGATTTTAAGTTGTGGCCTAATTAATACAAACGTCGGAATATTTACAGTCACATGTTAAATAAGTGAATTTTTCAAATTAGAAGAAATTTCTGACTAGTTCGTTTCGTTCAAAATCATCATTTACTTCTCACCAAAATAAAATGTTCGAAATGCATGATTTTGTGTGTTCATAATTTCATTCATATGTATTCTATAACAGTATATATGTACAAAGTTTATTTCGTCGTGCATAAAATCACAAAATAATACAGAACGCAAAATACTGTAATATTATGGAGTGGTGTGGTGGTTTTCGGTCAATTCAGCGCAAAAATCTTGTGGGGTGGGTTCTCTAAAATTAGCAATAAATATCCCGTTAACCGGATAATTAAAATACGGAATACCCGGATATACCCGTTATCCGGATGGTAAAAAATATAAGTATCCGAACTAACCCTATACCGAATTTATCGGAATCCACCATTATTTACAAACAGCCATCCCTGTCAAAACTTTATATCCAATACTCCATAAACATAGCCCATACAAAAATTTCACATCAAAACTCATGAATATTGATAGTATTAACATTGTGTTTAAATGTGGGTTATCACGGAAACTTTTTGCGGCGAATTTAAATCCATATAACTTTTTGGTGTCGATTACAAAAAGAGAACAGTTCAGTTTTTAAAAGTCAACCTCGCAGAAATCGAAGGCAAGGTTAGGAAGGCAATTTTAGCTTTATGTGTTTTCATTTTGAACCGTGTGCTACGGCGCAAATGCCATCAAAATAATCGTGCCATTCCCATTTTCATGGTTTTGTAAAAACGGAAAAGCGAAAAAAGTAGCGACTTCTTGGAATTGACGAAGAAATGTTGGTGTGGTTGGCAACGACGAACCCCGATTCAATCTTATTCGTTTCTAAAAACAATCACCCCCATCGCATTAACATTTGCAAAATAAAACTGTTTAATGATAGAAAGGCAAATTTCACGGTATAAATTAAGACTGCGTAAATTGAGTCAAAAAGATAATATAATTTAAGCTCTTTGAATTTAAAAGAAAAATTTCCCACCAATAAGCGTGGACACTGCTGAAATAACGGTCAATTGTCAATCAAGTAAGTCAAATAGAAATGAGAACACGATGTCAAAAAGTTTGAAGGTATAATATGATTAGATTATCTATACAACTATAAACACGTATGTTATTCACCTAGATTGTGAATCAAAATAGAATATTGCACATCAGACCATTTCCTACTCGATATTACAAAACCAATTGCTAGTAAAGTAATGAAATCATCATGCGGGCTTGGAGATGGCAGTCTAGGTAGAATCGAAAACAGTACGATTGCAAAAAACGCCTAGTCGTTTTTATGTACAAATCGAATTGATTTTCTTTCGCAACTTTCGCCGTAATATGGAGATCTACATATGCATTTACATTCTCTTCCCTTATTAGTTACTACAAATTGACCCCCGTTCTCACAGTTACCGTGAGTACAACGACGGGGGTCAAACTTGGTGTAGACGTCTTGTAACGCTTTATCAATATTTTGTCTTATTTCAAAGTCTTCAATTAATTCAGATATTGGAGCAATTTTGAAGTCGAATATTTTCGGATTGTGTGGAACTGTGTCCGCCCATCGTTTGTAAATTTGTTTGAGTGCGTTCTTTCCAACGTAAGCTAGTTCTGCGGCTGCAAAAGAGTAACCACCATGAACAGAAGCAATAGAGTCTGTGGCTTTGTGAATAAATGTGTCGACATCTAATGCAGTATCATCTTCCTGTGCACATGCAGTAGGTACAAACGTTGTGTTTACATCTGATACCATTTTATTAAATGCTTCCATTGCCAAACAATTTCCAATCTTGTTATTGCGAGTATCAGTACTTTCCAAATCATGTGATTTGAATTGATAAAACACACTGTAGACACCACCTAATTTTCCCTCGGTAAAATAGTGTGTCCCAAAATCACTTAAAAAGTGCGAATATACAGCAGGATCGTAGTTCCTTGGTAACTTTTTGACACGTTGCAAAAAATAATGGGATACTTTGATGTCACCCCGTCTTGTCTTAAAATGCCCAAGTTGAATTTTGCTTTGTATTTTTACGTAACTATAATCATCTCGTGCATTTGAATCAACAATTTTCTTCCACAATCTATCACTGGATCTTGCCGCATTTGAACCCAAACTTAAAGATGAAAAAATGGATGGTTGTGCATCTACACTATATTCAAATTCTGACTCCATAGACTTACTTAGTGAAATAGTATCTTCGTAAACGTACGAATTTAAGGTGGTGTGTGTTTCAACATAGCTTCTATACATTTGTAAATTGTAAGGTTTTCTAAATTCTTTAAATACTTCTGGAATATATATAGTTTCACAGGCTCCTTCATATCTTTTATTGTCTAAAACTTGTCCGCTGACGGAGTCTCGCATTATGTCATATCCCGCTCCCATTATGTATCCATTTGGCAAAGTATCATAACTTATTCCAAGGCAAACATCTTTAGTCTCTTCACACTTGTATTCATCAGATCGATCTCTACAATCGACATCTCCGTTACAAACAAAATGCTCTTTGATACATTCGTCTTTACTCCCACATTCGAACATGCCCACGCTTGAACAGCCATGTAGCATTGCATGGCAAGCTCGAAAAGTTAAACAGGAAGATATTGAGAATTCACTCCCTTTACAAGCAAGACCGCCAAACATGGCAGGCTGGGCAACCTTTCTCGTGCGAGATTTTCTTCCTCCACGACAAGGATCACAGTCTGTCCAGGACGACCATGGCATCCAAACACAATCTATGGGACATGGAAATGCAGGACAGTTTTTTGTTTCCCCGAGTTGTGGTTGTGAGCATCTCATGTCAACATACTTGTTTCCAGACGACACAACTTTGCGATTTCTCGTTGACTTACCCCCTGAACATCCGCCGCTGCATTTGCTCCAATCGCTCCATTGCGATACCTGAAACATAATTAAGGTACAATATTATACCGTAGCTATTCTAACCAATACAATTATTGAATACCAGTTCAATTGGGGATTTGCTCCAAATGAAAACAAAAGCGCTTTCTTGGAAGCAGAGGAAACTACTTAACATCAAGTACGCGAACAATTGCGTGAATAATTTGCGATCAATAACACAAATACCAGTACAGTAGTCTCCAATAAAAATTAAATGCTTCATTTGTCCGAAATTGATACCTGAAACACATGTCACTATCGAATGTACACGATTTTCGTGAGTTTTCCATCCCAATGACTTTTTGTCAAATGATTCTTTATACGAATAGCCCTTTCGCAAAAGTTTGTTTTGTGTGGAATTTACTACTGTTCCATCGGTCTCATTGGCCCGCACAGCTTCAAGGTATGCGTTGTTAGAAAATTACGACATTTGAATAAATTCTCTACGCTTTTAAATAAGATTTTTGCTGTGACATTTTATGATCAAATTTTTATTTAAAAAAAAAAACTAGAATGAGGAGCCCTTACGAGTCACGAGGCTACTATTTTTCTTTAACCTACTTCTGTATTATGTGTATTCGCAAGAACCAGAAACGGTTTCTAATGGAACTATAAAAAGTTTTTCCTAAATTAACTCTCAAGTAAGCAAATATGTCAAAAACAAATAAACGCATTGCTAAACGATGATTTAAATATGTGCTATGCTTTGATCAATAATTTTCGAAATTTTTTGCTCTGATATATATATCAACTAAACAAGGAAAATTAACAAAATCAAAGTTCTTAAAATATTACCTTGCATTCGTTCCAAGTTGTTGGTCGCTGGTATAGCCAACTATACGACAAATCAAAAAGAAAACTTCCATAAACAAATATAGCTAAGAGTAGATACAGTCTCATACTCATTAATAACTTTCCAGAGTGATTTTGTTTCTACAACTTCCGAACAATGAGGACAAGCGACAAATTTCATAGAATAAATTCCGATTTTTTATCCCGGAGGGCAATTTGATAATTACTGCATACAGGGGAAATCTTTGTTTGGTGTCGTTTATGTAATTTAATTGTTTACACATGATAAAACACGATGATAATAAATTGTGTCATTCAGTAATAAATATGATAGAGAAAACTTGCCCGACCGGGTGCTTACGTATGGTGTATATATATATATGGACATGTGCGATGGATACGACTAACAAAATATTAATTAAAACTTCTGAAATAAACATTGTGCATCCTGCAAAATTAACAACATCATTTCAACTACATCATTCTGTATCGCAGACTTGGTTTCCACACTGGGTTTACGATGAACTTCTATGATCTTCTATGGGATTACAATGAACTTCTAGGTTTCTCGCGATTAGTCTATATCTGGGACTGGGATATATCGGAAAAAACCCTATTTCAAATTAGTTAGATGAGATAACGTTTGCTTCAAAGATGCAATGCTACCGCTTGCGAGGGCAAATTTTAAATGACTTGAGCTCTTCGAATTTTCTTGGTGAACTAGGGTGAGTTTAGATGCTCAATCAATCAATCGTTTATTTGTCATCACAAAAACAAGTTCAAATAAAACTGATACAATGAATAAATATGAAATATACAGTACTAATTATGTTATATAATCAGTCGCTCCGACCTTCGTCGGGTGCGGACGTGTCAGCTGGAAAAGACTAGTGAATGCTATGCGTTGTATGTTTCGGTATCTGTAATCTGTATCGCGTAATATCAACATGAGCAAAGCCCATCCACTGGAATTAAAGAAGTTTATGGATAAAAGATTGGATTTAAAGTTAAATGGTGAACAATCTGTTGCGGGGATATTTCGAGGTCCCGATCTTTTTATGACTACACGTGGATGAGGGTCTTACTACTTACTGAATACAGCGCGAAACACCGCAAAGAGCGCAAAACAGCGCAAAAGAGCGCGAAACAGCGCGAAAGAGCGCAAAACAGCGCAAAATTGCGCGAAACAGCGCAAAACAGTGGGGAAACAGCGCAAAAGAGCGCAAAACAGCGCAAAAGAGCGCAAAACAGTGGGGAAACAGCGCAAAACAGAGGGAAACAGCGCAAAACAGAGGGAAACAGCGCGAAACAGAGGAAAACAGCGCAAAACAGAGGGAAACCGCACGAAACAGAAGAAAACAGAGGGGAACAGCCAAAAAAAAAACAGCGCGTAACAGAAACATATTACCGGTACTGGCTTTAATACGGTATATAATACGGTCCACAATAGATGGTTCTTCTGCTATTATCAATTACGTATTGAATACTTGAAAAGGAGAGTTATTACTTATCGATCTTAAAATCGGTAGGTATATTGATAGGTATTTGTCTGTATGTCTGTTAGATGAACGCGATATCTCACGAAAGCGAGGTTCAATCTGCTCCAAACTTTGCATGTGCATGCATCATAGCTTGGAGCAGAAGCCTATTGATTTTGGATAATTATCTATCGTATAATTAGCGAGTTATTAATTAATTAGTGATGGGACACACGGTGTCGCTATGGAATAAGACCACTGTTTTGGGAGATCCCCTAACCTTCGATCGATAACTCTTCCGTTTCCAACCGAATTCTAGTTTTCATATTAATTAAATCAGTAAATCATAGAATGCTGTTACCAATATTCACTATTCCTGAAGAGATTGCGGTTATTGAAAATGCAGGTTTTTACTCAATCAAAAGACTTCCATACAAAATATATATGATCAAAACTAATAAAGTTATTCTTAGGCTATTGTCGTTTGTGATAAATATCCGCAAAACTTCCATATGGGTATTTACACTATGTTTTTGTATATAATATGTTAATCATCAACTGTGTTTCCCCGAAAATAAGACCTAGTCAATAACGCGAATTATTTTTTGTCCTATACGATAACAAGAAATCTCTCCTACACGTTTTTTAAATGATTGATAATTTATGCTTTGCAGTTATTTTGAATAAAAAACGTATTATTTATTGGATAACAGTTTTCACATTTTGTATATATATTTGACAATCTCGTAATTCTGTACTTTGAAATTTTGTTTTGGATAAATAAAAATATAAGACATCCCCTGAAAATAAGCCTTAGTGTTATTTTTCGAAAGAAAATTTAAATAAGACCCAGTTTTATTTTCGGGGAAACACGGTACCCTTGGTGTCAAGTTTGCTAAATTTTCAAAATTTGAATTCCCGAAAAGTAAACGGAAATCTCAACCATCATCTGGCAACATTCATGTAGGCTATTTACAATTTTCGATGGATCATGATTAGGGTTGGGACCCCGGGAAATCCCGATACCGAAATCCAGGGATTTAGACTGTTTTCGTCAATCCCGATCACGCGATTATTTCTTAAAAATCCCTGGATTTTAAGGCTTTGTTATCCACATATACATATTCCCACAAACGGCAGATTATACTATTTTATTTAATACTTATTGTAAAAAAAAGCCATCCACGCTTACAGTTTTAGTGGAAGTGGAATTATTGTGCGAAGTTGTTATCAAATTAAACCGTGGAATTATTATTTGACTAGTAGAATTGCCATTATTGCTGACTTATTTAATCATAATTTGAACTCAAAATAGCATTCAGGATTCACGCAATGACTTTGCAGGGGGATTTATTCACTATTCAATACAAAAATAAAACAGCCAAACTTTTGAAAAGTAAAATCAAGAAAGTCAACTATCGTCTTTATAAATATCCGCCTTCCGGTGTCAGAAATGATAATATTTTTAGCTTAAAATTAGTACAGTTGATTCACAAACGGCGACAAGAAAGATCGAAGCCGATGCAACAGTTAAAAATCGGAATAAAATCCCGAATTCAACCCGATATTCGATAATTATTCGATTCGATGAAAATATACTATTTTTCCTACAATTGCGATCTGTAATCACGCTAGTAATCCGCGAAACTTGTTTTTCCCGAACACTGATGCAATGAAACTTAGCAAAACCTTCATAAATTTAATAAATTGCACTACTCTACCAAAGCGCGGTGGAATTGACGATTATTCCATATTTCGAACACAAAAACGGTCATCTTTTTCGGGTAGTTTCTGCGGTCTGAAAGGTTTCGACATAGTAAATGCCATGATCTTTGCCGTCAAATTATGCTCGGGCCTTGTACGAAATTCCTACCGTGAAAAGATACGTCCAGCTGTGAAAATTGTTTATAACAACTTTAAAACTATTTAGTGTTTTTAGCCATAATAATTAATTGTTGCAATGAAATACAGTTTGTTTGCCACTTTCATTTCTCTCGCAGGTGCTGACAATAACACTATTGAATGATTCTGACAATGGGGAAAATATATTAAATTGTAACAAAAATGAATTGTGAGAATACATGTGATAATAATAAGGGCGTAACTTGGAACAGGGAAGGGCGAGCAAAACCGAAGCGCGTGATCGGCGGTGCGCGTGAAGACCACGTATTACCCGTGCGGCCGTGCAACTTTTACAATAATGTGACTTATGTGAGGTGCTCCGAATACGCTTTCGTTTACGTTGATGTAAGAAAACAGTTCTAGAAAACATTTGTTGCGATGGGTAGAGAATGTTCGTGTTTTGTGATAGGTGTGCCGCGAATATTTGAAGAGCTAAACAGTGTGCCGCGATATAAAAAAAAAGGTTTGGAACCAATGCCCTAGGGCCTAGATGCTCTAATATTTCTACGTCGATATTACATGAAAGAAATGCGTAATTTTATTGTCATGCAAGATGTTTCAATCTTTCACTGATCCCGAAAAATCCGGGGATTATACGGCTCAATCCCACGATATCCCGATACCGGGATTTTGAAAACTGGTCCCGAAATCCCAACCCTAATCTTGATCTCGTCGGAGTAGTTCAGTAGCCTACAAGGTCCATGTATGTATTGCGAAGTAGCATGTGAAGTAAATTGTGCTCAGAGTACAATGTTAAAGCAAGAATAGCAATTGCTTCAGTTGAAATATGTATGTCTGATGAAGTTTGACTTTGGTCAGACAAAACGTTACATTGATATATTTGTGTTGGTGTGCAGTAAGGTGTTAGTCGTTGAGTAAGACTATTAAATTAATCAGGATAAGTAAGGTTTATAGGGTTTTTATATTGCAATTACCAAATTATGCACTGGTTGATTCAAGTTCGCATAATTTTTCAGAAGATGCTGTTACGGTACCGGTAAAGACCCATGGTATAACCTAACGTTAATAGTACATATTTCCACCCATTAAATTGAAAAAATATGATTGAGTATTTGGTGGAAACAGTGACAGAAGTTCACATGTAGAATCAGACAAATGATATATAGCTTCATTGTGGATAAACATTTTTGATGGTATTGGTAATTATCGGTGGCGTTTTTCAGGAAGAACGTTTGAAACCGATAACGTATCAAAGGTAACTGCAACTCTTTTCCGTTTGTAACTGCACGCGAACTTTTTGCCATCCACATATCTAAAACAGCATTGAATTTTATCCGTAGCGGGCGATAAAACAATTTTTTTTGATGCTTGAATCCGGAGTCACTAATAAAATATGGTTCACCTCACTGTTTTAATTATCCTTTACGTCCCCATGCGTTTTTGTCACAGTACACATTATTTCGCTGGGGGAAAAAATACCGATAGATAGCCCATGGCACAAGAGATACATATTTAGACAGATATTTATATGGTTCACCTCACTTGGCGCTTGTTTTTTAGAGATAAAATTAGGGCGAACCTTCTGGTGTAGGCTAACTAACAATATATTTCAATTTGAACAGATTCCATTACCATAAATATCGGAAATGCCAAAATATAAAAACAAAGTTACGAAGTGGCCATGTGGTGTTTGCGGCTTGTCTTCTGAAAGTGATTTTTCAATTCTTTGTGAAATTTGCGTCCGCTGGTATCACACAAAATGTGAGAATATATCAGAAAAATCTGCTGCCAAATTAGAACAATTGGAAAATGCTCCATATATTTG